TTTTTTTTTTTTTTTTTTTTTTTTTTTTTTTTTTTTTTTTTTTTTTTTTTTTTTTAACGCGGTGAGATAGTTGCACCGCCCGTTGTTCCCTTTTTTTCAGTCGCATTTTCAGGCAAGCCGTCCATAGAGGCCGGGAAATTTGCTGCTTATCGGACGGCACATCTTACAGATGGGCAGAATTCGGTCGGGATAGGTCGCGATGTAGCATTACACCCAACCGGAAGAACTTTAATGGAAGTAGTACATGAATGATTTACCTTGGTTCCGTTCACCTTGTGCAGGTTGGGCTAAAACAGATTCTTCCCTTTGCCAATGCGCCCCCCCCCAACCTCTCTCCCGCCGCCAACCCGAATGTTATAGCTGGCCTAATTATGGGGATCATCACAGTTGTTTTGCTAACAATTCATGTGTTATTCATGTTTTCGTTTCCATTCTGCTGCCATTATCGTTGTCATGTTTCGTGTCTTATTCATGTTTTATTGGGTTTCCATTCTCTTTGTTGTGTTTTAGGTGCTGGGGAGGAGGAGAGTGATTTGAAACTGTGATTTCACTGCCGTCATTTGTTAGCCATGGCGCGGACTAGAAAACGGAAGGCTCCTGGAGACTGTGAGCGATTTATGATGAGTCAGATGTATTCATTACAGAGGTATCTTGCTGGATACTGGCTTGCCCCAGGTTTTGACCTCAGTCCTGAGCAGTTTTATCAGGCTGCGCTCTCGATAATCTTGCCACCTGCTAAGCGGGTGGCTCGAGCTCCTGCTCCTCCTGGTGAGCTTATGAGTTGCTCCCCCTCCTCCTCCTCCTCCTTCTCGCCCTCCTCTTCCTCCTCGTCCTACCCTTCTTAGGACACAAGATACTGCAGTGTGTGGAATTGTACCCCACCCTTCTTCCTTGTTCTCCCTCCTTGTAGGGCACTGGCAGGTCTGCATGAGCTAACGTGTCTGGCATGGCAGTTGTCTTTGCAATCGAGAGCCGTGATGTGCCACCTTTTGTTTCAAAAACAAGGGTATTTAAAAAAAACATCTGTGGAAGACGTGTACAAGTTGGAAAGTGGGGCAGCCATCAGCATGTTGGGAAGGCAGAGTATTAGCGTGGTTGCCTGCCATGTGGCAGCCCTGTGGGGAGCCATGTATTGCACGATGTACGAAGTGAAACTTTTTTGGTGTCTAAAGCCTTTCACCGCTGTCCCCTGTCCTTGTTTGGGCTTCCCATACCCTCCAGAAGTGTGCATAGATAATGCTCTCCTTGCCGATCGGCTATGAGACAATGACACCTGCACAAGATCCGTTTAGGAGGAATTGTACATTCCGTCTCTCTCTCCCCCCTCCCCCTCCTCCCCCGTCTCTTTCTTTTCATCGGGGGGCAGTGGTGGTTTAAATTTCTTAAGGGGGTGTGGCAAAGAGCAGGAGGGGAAGAGTGGGCAGGAGAATGGAGAACAGGCAGAAAGAAGAAGAAGAAGAAGAAGAAGAAGAAGAAGAAGAAGAAGAAGAAGAAGATGATGATGATATTCACATCAATGAAGTGATATGTAGGTGATGATGATGATTGATGGTGATGATGATGATGATGATGATGATGATGATTGATGGTGATGATGATGATGATGATGATGATGATGATGATGATTGATGATGATGATGATGATGATGATGATGGTGATTGATGATGATGATGATGATGATTACGGCAACGGCAATATAGGTGATGATGATAAGGGGAGTGCGAATGATGATGATGATGATGATGATGATGATGATGATGATGATGATGATGATCATCATCATCATCATCATGTTTACAGCGAAGGATTAATCTGTAGATTGTTGTGGCTCTTCTCTCTTGAGTCTGGCTGCCATCACAGCTAGATTCAGGCAGGAAGTTGTAGTCGATGATCATAGGACCTATGTGTCTGTTGAAGGCTCTTCTCTCTCGTACTCGCATGGACTTGAACATGGGCAGGCACACACAAACAGACGTACACACACATGCATGTACACACACCCATGCATGTGCACAGGCACACACACGTACACACACAAACGTACACTCGCAGACACACACAGACACACACGCACACACATGCGCTAGGAAGCTGTCATAGAAAGTAGGTGTCTTCACTGCATGGACTATCCCCGGTGCCATCACCCGCCACATCCTCTCCTAGCATGTCCAACATGCAGTGTTGGTCATACACCTACGGCAATCGCAGACGGATCTTCCTCTTCCTTGGTAGACGTATGACAGACACAGCGGCCTGAGGAGGAAAATAGACTTCTATATGAACCACCTGCAGAGGGATGTGCTGATACTTTATATCACCACCAGGGCGAGCTGTTGCGGACCAAATCCTGCAGCAGCTGAACGCCCTTGCTTGGGACCGATCCTCCCTGTCGTCGTCTGGCCATAAAGAAGGAATAAATACTGATGAAACCCAAGAAAGGTGCTCCATGCCGCTTTGTGATGACCCGCTGGCGATTCAACTAGCATGTGGTTTGCATGCCTTGTGCCGTGAGGATTATGAAGGGATAGTCCATGCGAGTTTTTGCTTTCATACGTACGCTGACAGTCAGTACTGTACTCATGTACGGCACCCTGACATGTCATGTCCAATTTGTAGACGGGCTGGAACGGCAATGCCTCTATAACTGCGGTCGGTGTGCCTCCGTGTTCCTAGCGTGTAGGAGCCACGTAGCCTGTGACATCTGTCTGTGCCGCACCATTCGACGCAGCAACTGTGACTGCAAAAATTGGATGCGGTGCTTCCACAGTCCACACCCGAACCGGTCCTGTCGGGTCTGTAGGGGTGGCCACATGGCACGCTCCACAATAGCAGTGCCCTCGCCTCAACGAATAGATGTTGCCCCCCGCTGGGCGCCACACGGAATTGAACCTGTGGCGTCTGGGCTGCCGTGCCAAACAGAACATAACTGCAAAAACACCGTACGGCCTGCACAGCGCCCTGGGCCCAAGAGGGAAAAGGGTCTCGCATGGGAGCGTTATGCAAGACCTGGGTTAATCTTTATATAAAGAGTAAGAGTATAGATATAGATATAGATAAAATGGTGGGGAGTGGCAGTTTAGAATGCATAATTGAGGACCAAATCGTGGCAGTCTCCCGCAACATAGCTGAGACGGGTGCAAACATGTTTCTTGGCCCACATTCTGTTTGTCATTGGTACAAGGAGCAGGGCTGAAGATTCTGCGTGCACCCCATTCCTTTTGAACTTTTGTACCCAAAAAGCAGATGCCCTCATCATGTTCAGAGCTACTTGAAAAGGATGGTGCGCATACAGATTTGGCAGCCATTGCGTAATGTGGGTGAAGGCAGGTGGGAGGTTCAATATCCACCAGTCAATTTTCTTAACCCAGTTGGCTTTTATTTCCAGAGCTAGTTGAAAAGGGTTGCATAGATCTTGGGTCAATTTCCTTAACCCAGCAGCAGTAGGCCGAACAGTATATATAGCTGTGCCAGCCTCATTTGTGGCACGCAGAGTTAGAGGTTGAGGTCGTCACACTACTGGGCAGCGCTGCTACGGTAGAGGAGATAGGCAGAGTAGTAGAGTAGGAGGTTGAAGGCGGAGGCCAGACTATGCGAGACTTACCTGCAGACTTAACTGGCGCCATAGGTCCTGTTCGTCTTTGGGGATGTTCCACCTGCATCACAGCTCCAAGGAGACACCTTGACAGTGGTCAGTATCTGGCTCCACATTCTAGAGACTTCAAGAGGATTCTTGTTCTTCGTCTCCCTCCAGCTCCATCACTTCTCTTCCTCCCTCCATCTTCTTCTTCTTCTCTCTGTGTGTGTGTGTGTGTGTGTGTGTGTGTGTGTGTGTCTGTGTGT